GAAAATCCAGAAATAAACCCACAGATTTATGATCAACTAATCTTTGACAAAGGAGCAAAGACTATGCATTGGAGCAAAGAAAGTTTGTTCAATAAATGGTGCTGGGAAAACTGGGTCGCTACATGCAAAAGAATGAAGCTTGACCACTACCTCACACCATACACAAAAATCAACTCAAAATGGATTAAAGAACTAGACATAAGACCTGAAACCATAAAATACATAGAAGGAAATATAGGCGAAACACTACGTGATATGCACATCAGAGACATCTTTACAGACACATCGCCCAAAGCAGTGATAGTGAAGGCAAAGATAAACAGCTGGGACTACATCAAATTAAAGAGCTTCTGCACAGCAAAAGAGACTAACAAAAACAAAGAGAAACCCCACCAACTGGGAGAACATTTTTGCACACGACACTAATGATAAAGGACTGATCACAAAAATCTGCAAAAAGCTGATGAGACTCAACAACAACAAAGAAAATAATCCAGTCAAAAAATGGGCAGAAGAGCTAAAAAGAAACTTCTCTGAAGAGGAAATGCAAATGGCCAACAGGCATATGAAAAAATGTTCAACATCACTTGTCATCAGGGAAATGCACATGAAAACTACCATGAGATACCATCTTACACCAGTGAGATTGGCACATATTAAAAAAACTAGCAACAACAAATGTTGGCGAGGGTGTGGAGAAAAAGGAACTCTTCTGCACTGTTGGTGGGAGTGCAAACTGGTCCAACCACTATGGAGAGCTGTGTGGAGATTTCTGGACCTACTAAACATAGAACTTCCATATGATCCAGCAATTCCACTCCTAGGGATTTACCCAAAGGACACAGAAACATCAATTCCAAAGAACACCTGCACTCCTATGTTTATAGCAGCACTATTTACAATAGCTAAGCTTTGGAAACAGCCCAAATGCCCAAAAATAGATGACTGGATCAAGAAGATGTGGTACATATACACCATGGAATAATACTCAGCATTCAAAAAAGAAAAACACATGCAATTTGCAGCAACATGGATGGCGCTGGAAGGGATCATGCTCAGTGAAATAAGCCAGAAAGAAAAAGAAAAATACCAGATGGTCTCACTCATAGCAGGAATCTAGAAAACTTAAATAAGGGACCAGGAAAATGAATAACTATAAGAAAGTGAAAATCAAAATCAACAAAAAACTATGAACCAGAGACACTTTCTGGGGGGGTTGGGGGCAAAAGGGGAGGGATTGGGGTCAAAATGGGGGGATTGCAATTGTATGGGGAATATAAAAATAAAATTTATTATTTAAAAAAAAAAAAGACATCTTCATGAGCTATTCAAAAAAAGCCCAGGCTGCCCTGATTTTGAGGACTCTGAACTATCTAGGCCCAGCCTGTATATCTAGTGTCAGCCTCTAACACTTCCCTTCCAAGACTGTGTTCTCACTGAATTGAACTACTTGCTCTTTTCAGTATAGTTCCCTGTCCCAGTGACCTGGCTTATACTCAAAACTCTTTTTCATGCCTTTGAGGTTTTAAAGCCTTGTCTTTCCTGTCACTATCCAAATGCTACCATGTTTATTGCACCTTATCTTTCTGAACTTCTGTAATTCTTGTTTTGAACTCTTGTCATGAGCCTTCCGCTTTATACTTAGTGTTATTTGGGTACACAACTTATTTAAACTCATTTTCTGAGTCCCAGAGAGTTCTTCCAGTGCTGGCTATGCCGTAGGCAATTAGTAAGTGTATTAGAAGTAAACCTGGCAAGGGAATAATAATGAGCTGATTAAGAGTTGACAGGTTCATTGGAACTATGAAGGTAAGAAAGAAGCTGAATAGCTGTGTCTTGGAGGATCTAGAAAACAGGTGATTTTCTGCTCTCAGACAAGAGCTTTTATATGGTTCTTGTTAAGGTGTGAAAAAGTAGGGGACTCATTTGAGTGGCTTTTTAAAAAAAATTTATGCATATAAGAACCGGGGTGTTGACCAGAGGTGTGGGGGGTGAGGATTCACCAGAGAGAGTGGGGAGCAGAACAGGAAAATCTACTGAAATACACTGCTAAGGGGAGAGGCAGGTGAGACAGGAAAGGTTTGCTACACCATGTGAGTCAGCTCCCTGGCTGGGATCGAACTGGTGGTGTGCTGCAGTGGCTGGCGATAGTGTGATAGTGTTGTGTCTTTAACCCCTGTGCCACCAGGGAGGCCTGAGTGGCTTTTTTATGCTAATGTTTTTTCTTTTTTTTTTTTTAAAGATTTATTTATACAGGCACTGGGTACAGTCAGAAGTGTGGGAGGGTGAGAGAATTCACCAGAGCCAGAGCGGGGAGCAGAACAGGCAGACTGACGAAATACACTGCTGAGGGGAGCAGCGGCCATGGCAGGAGAGGTCTGTTGCGCCATGTGGGACTCTCACCAGCGACCGGGGATCGAACCGGCGCTGCAGAGGCTGCAGGCAGCTTCGCAGCCCAGCTCAGCCGCTGCGCCACCAGGGAGGCCCTATTTCATCTGATATTATTTCAGCCTATAATCTTTCACATGCCCTTTTCAAAGAGAGGTACATAGAGGGAATGAAATGCTGAGAAAACTTGACAATTTATCAAAGAACGTCTTTGCCAGACATCATATGCCAGTGAATGGGGCTCTTGGAGTGTAGGAGCCAGACCCCAAGGGGCTCTCCGTTCTTGTCTCGGTGAGGAAAGAATTCAACGTTGAGACCAGAGTCAGGCAGAAAAGCTAGAAATTTATTGTCAGATAAGAAGTAGGACAGGAAAGGTCTCTGAACAGAGAGGTGTCCTGAGTGGGTCGCCACTGAAGGGGTAAGAGGGAGTTTATATGTGTTTGGTGAGCATGAGGTGGGGGTTCAGAATTTGGGTGTATGTCAATGTCATTGTGTCACTGTTCATTGGATGTGGCCTACTGGGTCTCCCAGATTACTTGATCTATTTTCCCGGAAGGTGCTTTGGTCTGTTGCTTTGGCGTTGTGTGGGTTTTCGGAAGATTGAGTTTTCTCTGGGCTGGGACACCCTGATCCTACCTGACCGCCTGTAACCAGCCTCACTTCCTCATGCATCATTTGTGGTACTAGCTTGTTGCTTCCTTTAAGCCTTAGATATGTTCTGAAAAATACTCTCAAATAGAGTTTTGCTAATCACATGCTCTTTAAAATGTGCTAAGAAGTTTCTTGGGTCTTTGGAAAGAAACTGAAAACTGGCAGTTTTAATAACCTCCTCGGGGAGGGTGATTGGAGGCTAGGAACAGGAGGGAGGTAAACTTTTCACTAGATAGCCTTCTCTACCTTAAATATTAACCATATGCTTGTAGTCTAGTAAGGTAGATGTGTATTCTGGGAAATTGCTATTGTCATTATATTTCCCCCCCCCCCAGAAGGTCACATTAGACTTTGAACAGATGAAGAAAAAAAAAATTCCAAATCCTATAACAATTGTAAAACAACCTCTTGGAATTACCATTTCAAAATGGGCTCTAAGAGTAGATCTTTTGTAAAATAAACAACCTGACTATTTGAAAGTCTCTTGTAAATAGATTATTACTTCCAAATACAATTTCTATAGTAGGTTATGCCTTTAGTGTCAGTAAAAGGATTTTCTCTACGTATGAAGGTATACATCTTTTTTCTCCACTTTGACAAGAGTAAAACATCTAGCTCTCTCATAAGTTTCTAAACTGAGAAAAAAAGTAGAAACAACAAACCACTCTCAGCCTGAGCCTCACTTAAGTACTAGAATACCTGGGCCCCAGTGGCGCCCTGCCCCCCCTCCCCCCATCAGAGTTGGTACTTATGTGTCTCACACAGCAAGGACAGTTAGAAAGAATAAAGGAAATTATAAATGCTAAAGTAGAATGGCCAGAATATTGCAGGTGGTTGGTTAGGGGATAAGGAAGATGGTAAGCCCAAAGATAATCAGCTGTCAGGTATGAACAGGAGACTGCATGGATTCAAATTTCTCTTCACAGTTTCTTGGCTGCCTGAGCTTATTCTTAACCCTGAACCTCAGTTTTCTCATCTATCAAATTGGAATAATTTTAGCACTTCATTAGGTTATTGTAGAACTTTAAGAGGGGATCTACATAAAGCACTTAGCACAGTACCTGAGTGTATCCCACTTTTTTTTTTTTTTTTAAAGATTTTTTTTTTTATCTATACAAGCACTGGGTACAGTCAGAAGTGCGGGAGGGTGAGAGAATTCACCAGAGCCAGAGCAGGGAACAGAGCAGGCAGAAGGACCGAAGTACACTGCTGAGGGGAGCAGCGGGCGGCAGGAGAGGTCTGCGCACCATATGGGACCCTCCTCCGGTGGCCGGGGAGCAACTGGGAATCGAACCAGCTGCGGGCAGCTTCGCAACCCAGCACTCAACCGCTGCGCCACTGGAAAGGCCCTAGTGATGCTACTTTTTAGATAGAGAAAGGAGGAGCAGAGGTAGGAGTGCTAAGGAAGATGATATCCACTTAGCTGAGTTTGAAGCACCTGAGGAATAGGTGTTCAACAATATCCAGAAAACACAAATGTAGGCCTGGGACAGGAAGGGCCTCACATGTACTACTGCAGGAGTAACTGTTCTGGCTCTTTAAGTTGCCTTGCATTAGTCTTCCAGAACCTCTCAAAGCTTCGGAACCTGTGAAAAATATTTGATCACCTGAAAAAATTTGTGGTTGCTCATTAGAACATGCATGGTGCCCGAGCGTTCTTGTGCTATTTCAGCGGCAGATGTCAGGGCTGCTTCCTATATTCACTGCTCTGGGTGCTCAGCGGAGGAGAGCAGTGAGGGGAAGTCAGCTGGTGTCCACATACCAGGCCATACATATGCCCTTGGCTATATCTGAATGGACTGGTGTGTTTTTGCCTTGGGACTGTTCCTCTGCCTTAAGGAGTGGGACTTAGTTGAAAATTAAGCAGTTGTTGAAGTCAAAACTCCATGCAGCCAACATAATTTTCTGTTGCAAGGACCACATCCTGGGGTTACTTACATTTTTTCCCTTTCTTGTTGCAGATCACCAATGCTTTGGTTCTGCTGATTCTGTTGAGCACCCTGGCTGATCCAGACCACTACTACTTTTCAGGTTCTGCACTAGGAGGTGTCTTTGAGTTCATGAATGATGCCAGTAAGTACATCACATAGCAATTTAGATATTTTGGTTTTTCAAGGACAGGGAATCAGGCTGCCCGTTCTTTTTACTAAATTCCAAATATTGATTCATGGGCCCATTTGAACTGATACTTGACTTTCTTTCCATCTTTGCAAATCAGATCAACAGATATTTATGTTCTGCCCCATGCTCTGTATCTGTTTTTTTTTTTTTTTTTAAGATTTATTTATTTGTTTGTTTGTTTGTTTGTACAAGCACTGGGCACAGTCAGAAGCGCGGGAGGGTGAGAGAATTCACCAGAGCCAGAGCGGGGAGCAGAGCAGGCAGAAGGACCGAAGTACACTGCTGAGGGGAGCAGCGGGCGGCAGGAGAGGTCTGAGCGCCATGCGGGACCCTCCTCTGGTGGCCGGGGAGCAGCCGGGGATCGAACCAGCGCTGCAGAGGCTGCGGGCAGCTTCGCAACCCAGCGCTCAACCGCTGCACCACCTGGGAGGCCCTGCTCTGTATCTGTTCTAAGTGTGAGAATCTAAACAGGATCTCTTATTGGTCTTTTCATCTTAGGATAAGTTACCCATTTTTAAAAAAAATTATTGCTTTGTCATAGACTTTATACCCTGAACCTTTTGGCCTTTGGGGGAGAAGGAGAATAAATGATGGATTTGGTAGAATGTTATTTTGGACCTGTGAACACTATTATCATGAAGTTATATGGAATTTTATTTAGTGTTCCCAGATCCTTCCAAATATCCTACCAAATTATACCAATTAGGAATGTTCTACTTTTAGATAGTGGGACAAACCTGTAACTAGAAACCTGTAGAGGAATGTGAATGTGGTGTAAATAGGGAGGAGGCTAGGCTCTCAGCAATAAGACCCTGGAAATCTGAACATTTTTGAATTATAGTTACATTGTGTCCTGTCCTTGCTATCTCTGAAAGGGTCAATGCTATGCATAATTGCACAAAAAGATCATGCAAATTGATTTCTCAGTGGCTTTGATTTATTTTAAATGCATTTGAAAAAAATGTGACTAGGGCTGAGTAAGAATAGGAAATTGACTCAAGATGCAGTTTTAGAGATAAACCAAGAACATGCGAAGGACATAGTGAGGCTTGTGGATTTTATTCTCAGAGAGGGAAAAAGTATTCCATGGTTTTAAGGAATTCAGTGGCTTTGCACTGATGAGTTTTAAGAAGATCCCTCTTGTTGCTGAGGGGAGAGGATGCATTTAGAGGACTGGATGTGTGAGCACAGGATCCAGGGAACTAAATTCAGGTACATTTCTCTGCTATCCCAGCTACATCAGGGATGCAGAAGAGGGTGAATTTTGGAGGTGGGATTGCCAGAATTTGCTGGTATGTGCAGTGAGGGGAAGGGAAGGAATCAAAAAGGACTCTTGCTTTCTAGTTTGAGAAATTGACTTGCAGCTTTACTGGGGTGGGAAGAGTCTGAAGTCAGGAAATGGGGATAAACCTGTGGGGAAAACTTGACTTTGATTTCAGTGATTTAGCTTAGTAGTTAGGGCAGATGCTGAAGCCAAAATATCTTAGTATGAACTGACCTTGCCATGTATAATGTGTTAACATTGGACTAGTTTCTTACCTTTATGTGTTCTAGTTTCCTCCTCTGAAAGATAATGATGATCATAGTATCTACCTGGTGGGATGTTTTGGGTAATTAAATAAATTGATACATGACTCTACCTTAGAGTAGAGTCTCCTGAAAGTGTTCAGCATATTTCACTCTTACTAGCTATTCTTATTTAGGTAAGGCATGGTTGAAATGTGAGCTATCTTAAAAGCAGAGAGTTTAAAAGGTATCAGAGACATGAATCTGTAACTCAGACATTGTCTGGGCTGACAGAAATTTGAGACCATCAGCCTTAAAATGGAATTTATGTTAGGTAAATAGTAAAGAGAATAGAAGAGGGATTCAGGGTTGAACCCTGAACGAGCCCCAACACTTGAGATCAGCATGAGGAGCCTGAAAGCAGCCTCTGATAAGCTAAAGCAGGAGGCTGGGAAGCCACCGCTGCTCTGTAGTATGTGCTAAGAAGTCAGGTCATTGTATTGTCCTGAGTTTGTGATTTTGTCCAACTGAGACCAAACTGCTGTGTAACATTGCTCATTCTCTCTAGTCTGAATAACCCTGCTACACTTATGAATCCTTCCAGAAAGGATACTGAATTCATTAATATTAACATCTCTTTGCTTGCCTTCTCGGAGTTAAAAGAATATATAAGCCATAAATAACAATGTTTGATTGACATTTAAAAATAAATTATCTTTTACTGTTTCCAATGGCAGGATTCCTTTTCTAAAAAGGTAATTGAAGTTAGAAAAAGAATTTTGAAATTATATAGCTGTGATTCTATCTGTATTGAATAGTAACATAGCTTGTGTTAGTCTAACTGCTAGAGGTAAAGGGGTAGAAACTATTTGACAGTATAGATTTAATTTAGTTGACTTCAAAGGCTTGTTGCTGGTATATAAGACTTTAAAATAGTAATAGTTTTGTCATGCCCTGGATATTCCAGTACATTTGAGGTTTCTTTCATATTTCATATATCTGAAAGGAAGGAATGGTTTGTATTTACTTTGAGGATTTTTAACCATAAACCAGGCTAAAAAGGTACAAAAGAGTGGATTTTCACAGAAGTGAACTTTTTTACCTTTTATCTTATATTTTCATATGTTTTGATGACCTTTCTATAATAAACTTGTAAGTCAAAGGTCATTGTTTCTGATAAGCTGTTCTATATTCAACTAACACTGGGATAGAATTAAATAGTCTTTGAATTGAGTACAATTAATTACTTACAATTTCTCTTGAAAAATATAGAATACAGCAATTTTAAGCTGATATATTTTTGGAATGGTGGTAGCCACCTGAGGGCTTTAATCAGGAGGACAGAGCAGGAATGTGTCTCACTTTTCCATGTGATCTTTTCTGAAAATGATCTCTTAGAAGAAAGCTGAATTCCTCTTATTTACATTAAAATGTAAATAATATCCACTGGGATAAAGAATGTAGGGATTCCTCTGTTTTTAAATCTAATCTTGTAGCTCTTGTATTTCTGTGTTTAATAAATACAAAAATATTAGTAATAACACATTTAAAATTTGTAAATAAGTGCAAGTATTTTTTTTAAATAATAAATTTTATTTTTATATTCCCCATACAATTGCAACCCCCCCATTTTGATTCCAATCCCTCCCCTTCTGCCCCCCACCCCCAAAAAGTGTCTCTGGTTCATAGTTTTTTGTTGATTTTGATTTTCACTTTCTTATAGTTATTCGTTTTCCTGGCCCCTTATTTAAGTTTTCTAGATTCCTGCTATGAGTGAGACCATCCGGTATTTTTCTTTTTCTTTCTGGCTTATTTCGCTGAGCATGATCCCTTCCAGCGCCATCCATGTTGCTGCAAATTGCATGTGTTTATCTTTTTTGAATGCTGAGTAATATTCCATGGTGTATATGTACCACATCTTCTTGATCCAGTCATCTATTTTTGGGCATTTGGGCTGTTTCCAAAGCTTAGCTATTGTAAACAGTGCTGCTATAAACATAGGGGTGCAGGTGCTCTTTGGAATTGATGTTTCTGTGTCCTTTGGGTAAATACCTAGGAGTGGAATTGCTGGATCATATGGAAGCTCTATGTTTAGTAGGTCCAGAAATCTCCACACAGCTCTCCATAGTGGTTGGACCAGGTTGAAGTGCAAGTATTTTTTATGTTATTCCTCAAAATAGACTATACTAGGAAAGAATGAGGGACTGTCAAAGATTGGAGAAAACAAAGGAGACACAACTACATGTAACATGAGATCCTGGACTAGATTCTGAAACAGAGAAAGGACATTGAGGGGGTAAACAGGTGAAATTCAAATGAGGCCTGTACTTTAGTACCATTAAACAAATGTTAATTTCCTGGTTAACTTCCAATGGTTTTAACAAGTACACTGTGGTTAGGTAAATTGTTCCTATTCTGGAGAAGCAGGGTGAAGAATATATTTAAACTACTGTTTTTGTAACTTTCTTGTACATGTAAAAGGGTTCAGAACTAGAAATGAAAGAAAAAAATAGATCAGTCTATTGACTTAGAAGATCAAAAGATGATTGAAAGGTTATGTATATGTAGCATATTATATAGACACTCATAACTGAGTGCAAGTAGACTTACGGGATTTTATTGTGGAAAAAAATTTTTATTAAAGATTTATTTATTTATACAAGCACTGGGGTACAGGCCAGAGGCGCGGGAGGGCAAGAGAAATCACCAGAGATAGAACAGGGAGCAGAACAGGCAGAAGTGTTACAGGACAGGGAGGGCAGCACCCCAGACCCCTGCAAACCTGTCTGATCTGAATAGGTTCTGCCATCCGCCGCATCAACATAAAACATATGAGACTTTAATGGGAAGGAACTTTAATACAATTAGGAAACAATACAGGAAAGGCAAAGAATCTAGTTTCTAAATCAAGTATCCAAAGTTACCTGTCCCCTCGTGGGTAAAAGTCCACCCAAGCAGGACTGGCCCAGAACAAGGCCCCAAAGCCTGCCACAAGTCTAAAGCACCTTCCAGTGGGGACCCACAGAAAAGGCTCAGAAACAACCAGACAAGTCTGGAAGGAAAAGAGCAAAATCAAAATCAAGACAAAAACTGTCATTGTCACCTCCCCACGGGTCTCTCACCCACATCTGTGTCACCCAGTCCACGACCAAATGGTAAGTGTAGTTTCTTCACGTGTCTCTCTGCTTCATGTGCCTCCTCCAGGTCTCCTGTGGCTCTCCATCCTGCTTCCTTCCTTCCTCAGTCTCCTCTGCAGCTTCTTATCTCCCTGCTCAGCTCCACCCTCCTTTTGGGTAGGTCAGGAAACCTGGAACCTCCCCCTTCCCTGGGGACTACCCTGTTACTAAAGGACTGAAATACACTGCTGAGGGGAGCAGCAGGAGAGAGAGGAGAGGTCTGTTGCGCCATGTGGGAGTCTCCCTGGCCAGCTGGGAATCAAACTGATG